GAGTAAATCGGGTATGACTAGAATCCAGAAAGTTCTACAGAGGGTTTCTTAGTACTTCTGTGTTCTGTGGCAAAAGATAATGGGAATCTACAGAAACCCAATACAGATAGGACTGCTAATGACAGACATCTACCAAGATGATTTTGCTAACTCCAGTAGGCAGAGAACCACAACCAACTGAGCTACTTCCTGAAGACAAAGAGACTAAGGGAAGCTTAGTAGAATAAGAAACATATAAATACCAATTGTGGCCAAATTATTACTTGTAGAAACAATAATTGTAGTAATTATACTCATTTTCTTTATTACCTTGATTTATTTATATTTATATAAATTAATGAATTGTTTCTTTATCCTTTCTTCATTGTCATATTATCTAATATTAGTTATTTTAATAATGGTTACCTGTCTATTTCAATATTAAATTACAGGATTTCAAAGAGGTAAATGTAACTCAGCTTAAGAGGGTTAGACATAATCTAGGGATAGTCAACATGACATATGGGACTTAAGTCTATTCTTCGGGGAGATTGCTTGTTGGTCTTTGGTTGTTAAAAGACGGTTGCATTGTGCTAATTAAAAGCATGATGTTGTTTTATTCCATGTTGGGGGGTTAAATGTGGTAAAAAGAAATGGGCAGAGATGTCAAATTTCCAAAGGAGTTGATGCTGCTAGGTTGTTGTCTGTCCATCTGGAAAATGTTTCCCCAAATCTCCTTCCCTATATGGTTCTGGATTAGAATTTTCCAACGAGAACAACTTTCTTGAGGTTTAGAAGGTAGACATGAGGCAAATGAATTTTTGGAAGTCACTGCAATCCCACATGGCAGGCTTCCAGGCGTCCCCCTCAGCTAGCAATCACGGAGATTTGAAAACTTCCCTTCCCTGCTCCTTTGCTTCCGTCTGACATTTGTGACTGTTTCTTGATTCTCCAGCCTTGGTCATCAAGACTGATATTCTCCCAGCTCTTTCGACATTTGTGTAATAAGCCCTGTCTTCATTATTTAACCCAATTATCTCAACTATCTTGAACAAACTCAGACTGAGGCAGGGAGTGATCATCTGTTGCTGTTTTATATTCAGCTCGTGGCCTCTGTGACAGTGATGTTCAGTGATGTAAGACTGCAAGTGGAAAATGGATACCAGTTCTGTTTGGTAAAACTAGAAAAAGTGCCAGAATCCCCAACGAGCTGGTCCTATGAAAAACAAGCGGGAAAACTAAGGGAAGATCACATATATGGACCGGGTAAAATGGTAGAGAGCATTCAGGCAGGCATTCAGAGTTCACCCGAAGCACACCGATACCACACTGAAAACATAAATAATTGTGAGCTTCACCTGCTGGTAGGAATGAGTGCAATTACTAACATTCTTTCCAGGGTTTGTCAGAGAAGATTCACAAGAAGTGCAGTTGAAGCCACAGATGAAAGACATCAAAAGTGCTGTTTCAATGGGACTGCAAAAGGCATGGTCTGAAAATGGGGATACAAATACACCCAGGGTTATTGTAGATCAGAACTAAAACTAGGGCAAATCTTATCATCCACGATATTAACATGCTGAATTATTATCAGCTAATACCTTAATGAAATTAACAACCACTACATTACTTGTTTTTCACAAAGCAAATATAGATCTCATCTCAAATCCATTTCTCAAGTCCACCCATGTATCTAATTTAGTAGAATTTATAGTCTCATTTGGTAGAATTTATGTTCCTATTACTATTTATCAAGCAACCCTGAAACTGGAATGATTTACTTGGCAAGACCCTTTTCTTATTCCATTTTATGGGTATAATAATTTGGTTCAATTGTCACCTGTAAAAGTGATAAGATTTAGAGAATTGGTTAATTTGTTCTTTTTATGGTAGAAACATTGCACCATGGTCTATTTCCAGTGAAGTGACTAAAGAGAGGAAAAACTGTTTTCTCACAGAAAAAAAAAGCAATTGCATAAGCAATGCTGATTTTTTGTGTGTAAATCCTAAGCCACTCCCAAACTTTAAAGCCTTCAGAGAAAAATGAATGGTTAATATTACAACTTGGGCACACACTGATCCATGTAAATGAGCAGCCTTCAAATATATTTGGTCATACTCCTTGACTGTACTGATGGTAGGTTCTGACATGAGTTGAACTGGCCCATAATCACAGAACCCACAAGAAGCAACTGGAAATGCAACACTTTATTGGACTATGGACTATGTGGAAACACTGCCCGATTTCAATTGATAACACACTTGCATGTGTGCATGCCCATGTACCACACATACCACACACCCAAACATGCACATCACAAAACAGAACACGAGTCATACACGTGTTATTTACTTTCAGCTGGAAAATCAGAGAAATTTTCAATTTACAGGCAGTGACAAGTCTAATTGCAGCAGGAGCTCCCAAGGCTCCTCCCACTTCCGTCAGCTCCCAGCCATGCTCCCCTCGGCTGGGGTCTGTTGAGAAGGCACCTTCTGGACACTTGCTGACAGAGACAAGGAGCTTATGGGTTTTGAGTGAAAAGGATTTGCTAAATAAAGCTTCGGTTCAAGCCTTCACCCCTCTCTCCCAGAGGTCAGGGTGCTAAAGTCCTTGGTAGCTATGGAAATCACAAGGTGAACCATATGAATTACTTATATTTTAGAGCTTGCCGCGCAACACGGATTCCCAGTTAAACCCAGTTAGGAAATTAAGCTCATGCAATTATATTTTCAAAAGGAAAATACAGAGTGAGAAAGTTTCTTTTCTATAGTCAAATAATTAGTGGTGAGTGTGCCTCTCTGATTTACTGCCCAAGATTGATTCCAGCCTAACCTAAACCTCAACACATCATCCTGGCGAAATTAAGTCTACCAAGAGCCAAGGCTCTTTTTCTTCTGTGAATAAATTCTCTTATCACTTTAGTTTCTTGGTTAATATGACATATTACATATTCAAATGTCTTTATTCCTTTTGATTCCTTTCTTTGGTCTAGCACATGATTTACTTAGTTTGTAGTGGTCATTAATTAAAAAGGAGGTGGTGAATACCAGTGCAAAAGGCCATTTTAAGATGGAGATGGCTTCATTTGGGCTTGACTCCTAAGAAATTTATTGGTCTCACTCCATCCACGTCTTTGAACTAAGTTGACGTACTGATTCTTATTTTGCCTAATGACCTTTAAAAAGAAAAGAGCTTCATTTAGGACTCCTTTGCAAGTGACAATCAACCTGAATTTGCTTGAGCAAAATGAGGAAGTTATTTGTTCTTCAAACTGTAGGAAGATCAGAAGCAACAGGAGAAAAAAAAGGTGGAGGTGCTCACAAGCCAATAGGGCTGGCTACTCTCCCCCTCTCTCCTTGTCAGGTGCATTCCCTACACACAACCCATCACCCCATGCCCAGGGGAAAGACATGGCTGACATGGTTGCCATGGCAAGTTTACATTCTTACAGCTTGAGAACCTCATAGGAAAAGGTTCCTCACTCATAGATTTAGTTTCTTGAACCTCAGGGAAGAATTCTAATTGGGCTGGCTAGAGTTATAACATAGGGAATAAAAGTATGATTGGTTCATCTTGGGCCAGGTATCTCTCCCTTGACCCAACATTTATGGATAAGGAGGTAGAGCCGTGTTGGGAGATGACAGAAACCATTTCTTCTTCATGACAGAGTGTAGTGGGAAGAAAAAGGGAATTTCTGCCCCCCCAAAAGGGGAATGGTGTTACCAGAGCAAAGGAGGAATATTGAACCCCCAAAATAACAATTAATATTCTCAAGACCAATTTGTAATCCTGTAATTTCAAGGTTAGGTCATGGGCTTTAGAGTCAGACAGATGTGAGTTCAAGTCCCAGCTCTGCTATTTTCTGTTTTCTTGGACAAGTTATTTACTACTTCTGAGCCTCTATTTTCTCATCTGCAAAACGGGACTAGAATACCTAAATCATAGGTTTGAAGGAATTATTTGAAATAATGGTCATAAATTACTTAGCAGACTACCTACAGAATGCTTAATAAAATATAGAATGCTATGAAGTGACTAATAAACTCAGCTATTATCACAATGCCCTGTAGTTTTTGTTTCAGGTTGCTCTAATAACAACCTCAGTAACCAGGTTTGGCTTTTGGATCCAATCGGAGAGGTAATTTTCTGGGTTTATGTTCCTACTGGGATCTTCCTAGATCTCTCTCATAAAAAATAATATGTTTGTTTATCAAATAACTTTTGAACACCAAATATGCATCCAGCATGGTGTTATCTATTGTAGGAAATGTCAAAGAAATAGAAGGTATGGTCCCTTTCTTCTAGACTTCTGGTGGGGTAGTAACTAATAGACACAAAATAAAATTAGGAGATGACAAGTATATAATCAGAAGCAGATGTGATACATGCAGTAGGAGTTAAGATAATGAAAGATCCATATGATCAGTTTCCTTGAGAGGATTTGAGTTTGACCTTGTAAGAAGCATGGCATTTATACAGATAAAAGTAGGCATTTCAGGTTAGGTGAGTACAGGGAGAGAATGGCTAGAGCAGAATGGAGAAAATATTGTTGTGTTTTGAAGGAGAGGTTGCACTCAAGGATTCCCCCCTCCCACCTTACCACACATGACACAGATTTTACTCCCAAGGCTCTGAGAAGTGAATAAGGAAGATCAGCAGCCCCAGGAATCACGATAAGAAGCAAATGTAGATTCAGGATGCGTTAAGGCCTAGGTATGGCATGTGGAGGGTGGGGAAGTGCAGATAAATAGTTGAGAGTACAAGGAAATCTACAGTATGAAATATTGGAGATAAACAAAGATGAGGTCCAAAATGTGGCTATACTTTTAGTGCCTAAGACTCAATGGAAATGAAGGTCATTAGAATTAAGAAAGTCAAGCAACTGTGAAATAGGTATGTCAGATCATGGAAGGGATGCTGAAGTCATGAATAATGAGGTGAGATAAAGAGGACTATGATACAGTTGCTGAAGTCATAGAGAAAAGTTTAACCTGCAGGTGGTCTGGGGTTGGTAAAAAGAGAAACAGCTAAAATGGGGAAATTAAACAAGTTGGATCCTAGAAGATATTTTGCTAATGGCAGCAAATGATTGACACAGAGGCTAAAATGGGGAACTAAGAAAATGCCAATCACTGCTCTTCATCTAGTGAGTTGGGGGTAAGGGTGGAACATGGGAAAGGGAGATGGCCTCCAGTACAGTGGTTATACACAAGCTTCCCTGGTCTCCTCTCTACCCCAGCTGTTCTCCTCTGTGTTGCCTTAGCTCAGAACATTTATAAACCTGTGTTTAAGGCTCGGTTTGCACATCTGCCTCCCCCACTGTGCAATAAGCTTCTCGAAAAGTTTACGACTTTTTCATCTTGGTGTCCCAAAGCCTGAAAGTTCCCGGACATAGACAATTCTTAACATATCTTCGTTGGATGAAGAAATGAATGGATGTGCATGTGGTGGTGATATACACCATTAGCACATAACCCTGAAACATAACCGATCCCCCTTGTCCAGAGTGCTTGTTGGGTTGGTTTTCTGTCAGTCTCTAGAACAGCACTGTCCAATAGAAATTTTTGAGCCACAAATGTGAACCACATGTATAATTTAAACTTGGCAAGTACCCAATTTAATCAAATATATAAAATATTATCATTTCAACATATGATCAATATAAAAATTATTAATGAGATATTTTAGATTCTTTTTGTTTTGTACTCTTGTCGAAGTCTGGTGTGCATTCCGATGCTTACATCACATCTCAATTCAGACTAGGCATATTTTAAGTGCTAAATAGCCACTTGTAGCTGGTGACTAGATAGTGCAGTTCTAGATTCTAGAACATACCTAGTTCTTTCCCTTCTGATGGCCTCTACACTTTCCTCTGTTCAGATGACTCTTCCTCTAACTTTTCTAAAAAATATGTATTTTGTATTATATCATCCATAAAAGACTATATACACATATAGAATGTAAACACATGTAAATATTACACATATATACACACTATATATAAATTGAACAGAGATTAGTACAATGAAGGTTTATTTTTTACACATTCCAAGTCTCATGTAGATCAAGTAGCTGCCTACCATTTGGAAGGGACAAAGAGGCAAAGACTATCTGAAGGATGTTTGCAGAGGGCCAGGGTTGGAAAATTCCATTGCCTTAACTTAGTCATACAGCTTCACCAAGATGCAAGAAAGGCCAACAAATACTGTCTTCCTGTGTATCCAGATAGAGAAAATTGTGTGAGAAACACGTATCATTGTGCTTGGGCCTCTCGTTTTTGTGGGTCTGTGCTTCTAGCATCTTGCACTGGGCCTATCACTGTTTCTTTTTGGCAGTATTCACTATACCATTGATTACAGCTATAACATTTAAACATTTTTTTAAGATTTATTTATTAGAGAGAGAGAGAGAGAAAGTGGGGGCAGGGGCAGAGGGAGAGAATTTTTCAAGCAGACTCCCTACTGAGCACAGAGCCCAACGCAAGGCTTAATCGCACTACCCATGAGATCATAACCTGAGCCAAAACCAAGAATCTGATGCTTAACTGACTGAGCCACCCAGATGCCCCTAACATTTAAAAATTTTTAATGAGAATGTTTTTACCACTTTCATGTGCTCTTTCTGGCCCTCAGTCTTCTCTCTCTCTCTCTCTCTTTTTTTTTTTTTTTTTGAGAAACAAAGAGAGAGAGAGTGCATGGGGGAGGGGAGGGGTGGAGGTAGCGAGAGGCAGAGAGAGAATGAGAGAGAGAATCTTAAGCAGGCTCCACGCTCAGCAGGGAACCCCACATGGGGCTCGATCTCACAACCCTGAGATCATGACCTGAGCCTAAATCAAGAGCCAGACGCTTAACTGACTGAGCCACACAACTGCCCCCTACTCTTTTGTCATAGCACTCTGATCTTACTTATTGTTGCTATATCCCTAAAATTATATCAAAGTAAAAAACAGATATTTTTCAAAGTTTTTATTCATTTATTTATTTGTTAGAGAGAGAGAGAGAGGCAGGCTGAGGGAGAAGCAGGCTCCCCACCGAGCAAGGAGTCCAATGTGGGACTTGATCCCAGGACCCTAGGATCATGACCTGAACCGGAGGCAGATGCTTAACCAACTGAGCCACCCAGGTGTCCCCCCAAAATAGATTTTTTAAATGCCTTTCCAGTTTTCTACATTTCCTCTGCTTTCAATGAGAGTGTTTCCCCTGCTTAATGAGCTAGAATTGTCTATTTTCTTCCGTTTTTGAGGCTGGTGACTCTTCTCATGTACTCAGCCTTTATTGCTTAGCTTTATTCATGTACATCTAGATTAAGCAGTACTCCTAGCTGACAGACACTCCTTCAGTACTCAAGTTGGTCTGAGCGTGGATAGAGCAGTGGGTGACGAGCATACCAGGGCATGTCTTGTATTTGGGATAAGTGAGCCAAGAAGTACGGTCTGCTTCCCCCTTCCCCGCCCCTCCCACAGTGAGGAGGACGACTATGAGGTCTGCGGTTTTTCTCAGGACATGGTGAGTGAGAATATATGAGTGACCTCTCAAGTATGCTGAATGGGATTAGAGTAGCATTTTCAGTCCCTCTGGATCATGAATCCTTTTATAAGTTTTATCTTAGGTGAACTGAGTAATGTCCATGGCAAACAGCCTTTGTTTCATAGTTTCTCTCCCCACACTTAGTCTGGTAATAGTGCTCCTTCATCCTTTGACAATGCCTTTTCTACCCCTCCAAATATATAAGGGGTTCATATTATTAAGGGTTGTTTGTCACAGAAATTTCCCTATTTCCTTCCCATATTTAGTCACAGTGGTAGGCATGTGACGAAGTTCAATGTGAGTTTTGGTTTAAAAATGTCTGGTATGATACGTCATTAACCTGGTCTCATTGACTGGTCCAGAGGGTGAAGAGTGAGCCAAGTCAGTTCAATCAGAGCCCTTCTCCAGAAGTTTTCTGAAGTAGATCTTGAATTGTCAGGCTCTGAAGATGGGAGCTTAAAGGATTTAAATGGCCATCTCTCAGATCACAGGGAGAAAAATTAGTAAGAGCAAACCAGCAGACATGCTGAGAGAAACAGAGTTGTGAGTACTTGGTTTTGGTAACAAAGTTTCCTGGAGTAACTGAGTTCTTGCTTTCTATGTAGTCCTTCATGTAACTCTGAGAGCTACCCGAATAAAGCCCTCTTTGGCCATGTCGGTTCCAATTGGCATTCTTCATTCTAACTGACATGGCCAAAGGGGGCTTTATTTGTGTAGAGCTCACAGAGTTATAACATATTATAATATATATATATTATTTCACCTATTTCATCCCATGGAAATCTAACTCTTCCAGTGGGCCCTTGCTGATTTCCAGGGCTTGGACAATATTTTCTCTTCTACATTCATTGAATTGCCTCAACAGGGACAGCAAGAGGGACAGAATCAAATGCCATGTTAAGATCACTATCTTGGAGATATATCTCTATCTATATACCTATATGTCTTATCTACATCCATATATATCCACTTATTAAACGTCACTGCTATGTTAATTTTCTTTCCTCCTTCCTTTGTGACTCAGTTCTCATGATATTCTTTCTCTTTGTGAACTATGAACAGATTTTTCCTCAAACACTAACATTGGGAAATCGTGAAGAAGTTCAACTTTTATAGTAAGAATATAATAGGATTTGATTCCAAAAACATGTGTAACAGGGCATCACCACCATACAAATGTTATTTCAGGAAAAAAAAAACTTCAATGTCTAGTGACTTCAGCAATTAAGGTTTTGGTCTTGGACTGATTGCAGGCCTGAGAGCCTGGTATGATCTGGGCTTACGCTCACCATCCTGGACTAAATCCCTATAGGTAGTCCTTGCACTTTGAAGCAAGTTAGTAATTTAAACAATCTTTTCTTTTGACTTCCATTTAGAATTTGCAAAAAATATTCCATTATTTCAGCAGCTAAAAATTCCCTTTTGTACTTGTTGGTAAGCAAAAACTGTACTAGGAAATAATGAAATTTGAGCCATGATATAATGTGTTATCTTTGTTCTTGAGAAAACCCCCCCTTTTTTTTTTCTCAAAAACCTATGAGAAGGGGTGCCTGGGTGGCTCTGTCGTTAAGCGTCTGCCTTCGGCTCAGGTCATGTCCCAGCGTCCTGGGATCGAGCCCCACATCAGGCTCCTTGCTCAGCCGGGAGCCTGCCTCTCCCTCTCCCACTCCCCCTGCTTGTGTTTTCTCTCTAGCTGTCTGTCTCTCTCTCTCTCTGTCAAATAAATAAAATTAAAAAAAAAAAAAACCATGAGAAGACAAAATTAAGATGCTTAATCTGTTCTGATAACATACTTGGGCAATTTTTTATTTGAAGCAGAACTTTGCTCCTCAAGTGTTCTTATAGTTGGTAATTAGCAATTGGTAATTTCAGTTGGTAATAAAGTTGCACAAAGTTTAACTGGTCTTCAGACTAGCCTTACCACCTTTGACGACACATGCCTTTCTTGGTCCTTCTCTGACAATCACATCCAGACACTTCTTTTTCCTATAAACACCCCACTGATGGAAAAAACCTTTGAGCTGTCTCCATCTCTAACTAGCTGCCTCGCCCGCATGTCTAAAACAAAACTGATAATTGTGTCCATGCTAAATCTCTGAGAAGTTTGCCCTAATATACTGTAAAATGTACTTTGAGTGAGGGAAGGCAGGCAACCTGGGTTTCTCTGGTTCTCTTGCCCCTTACATCTCTTAAAATAATTCTTATTTCCACATCTCAGTGCTTGCACTTACCTCCAGATATTATCTGAGCCATTTTTCTTATTTCAAACCCCCTATTTGATTTAGAACTGCCACTCCAAGTCCATTCCATTTTTTCCCGAACTCCAAAATTCCATCTCTGAAAGTGGACCTTCCCTAACCTCCTTTGTTTCAAATGTCTCTTCTACTCACCTGTCCCCTGGAGCCTCAGAAAGCTCCAACTTGTCCCACCTCTGGATGCATCCCCTCTGTGTATGTGGTATAACTCTCAGTTAGCTAAAAACTTCTCCAATGCCTCTGGCAGCCCTTTGGGGATAATACAACCGATACTAAAAAGCTAACATGGGGAGTTTATTACGCTCCAGACACTATGCTAAGTAATTTACTGGCCAAGTATTTAGACGACTGCTTGGCACATAGTAAGTCATTAATAAATGTTTGTTATTGCTACTATTTATAGCCCTATGAACTTGGTACTATTTTGAGCCCCACTTTACAGATAAAGAAATTGTGAGGCACAGAGAATTACATAACTTGTACAGGATCACAGAGCTCATTAAGTGGCAGGGACAGAATTGAACCCAGTCTGTTTGATGCCAGTAGTTATCCATGTTCTTAAGCACCACAGAAAATTTGGTTAAATACACACACACATGAACCTTGTTTCTGCAGTTTTCAGAACAGTGTAAATTGTACTCAACACAAGTTTTACTTTGAAATTCTTTTCTCTTTTAAAATTCAACTGCCTCATAGATAATAAGGAAAAAGGCACAAGTATTTGTATCTCCCTGGAGAGTGTCATTGTGAAATTTCGAGGCTACTGAAATATGTGTCCTTAGGGAGAATAAGAGTTTTTAAAAACTTCTAAGTTGCTAAGGAACTGAGTTTTTGGTGTTTTGTTTGTTTGTTTGTTTGTTGAACTGTTAGTATGCTCTTCAGTCAGCTTTTTGAGTTATATTTTCTTTCCTAGGTCTTAGCCAGCAATACCTCATATTTGCTCTGGTGGAAAGAACTAGACTATGTCACGGGCTAAGCAATATTAAAAGTTTGTGGATATATTTATAACATAAAAGATTAATAATAGCATTAGAGACTCAACACTGATCATGTAATGCATCTTAACTTCTTAAAGTTATTTCATTTGATGCTCACAACTGGTCTGTGATGTTATGGCTTTTCTCCCCATCCTCCTGCTAGATTGTGGAGGGAGAAATGCCCCGCTTCTGCTGTTGTCCCCTAGAGTTCTAAGGAGATCTTCTGATCTCCCCTCCTTTTCTTCCCTCCCATACGCAGCTGCCTGCTTCTTCCTTAGCTGTCAGAGCCTGCTTGAAAAGGAACCCAAGATCGCCGGACCCCAGGGCCTGAGGCCCTTCGAAAGGCTCCCGAGGTCCCTGGGGACCAGTCAGGGGACAGATTTTCAGCCCCTGCAGCCAGGGTGCCATAACCCTTTGCACTTGGGCAGCAGCCCGGCATCCAGATCCCATCCCTGGAAGCTACAAACCCCTGGGCTCCACCCACCCCTCCGGCCAGAACCCGGCACGCTCTCCTCCCTCCGGATTTCCACTGGGGTGAACGAATGGGCTGGAAGGCGGTTACAGATGCCGGAGGTGCCTTGCGAAAAACCGTGGTGTCCTCTAGAAGAACGTTGGTTTCCTCCAGGGCCTGCAGTTGGCGGCACAGCCCCGCTGCACCTGGGGAAGGAGGCGGCTCCAGCGTGCGGGGACCCGGGGAGGGCGGGGGGCGCGCGGCGGGCGCGGAGCGGGGACTGGAACGCTGAGCGCCGCGGGGTCGGGCCGGGGCGGGCGGCGCGTCCAGGCTGCCGCGGGAGCAGGCGGCGCGCACAGCTGTCCTCCGGCGGGCGAAGGCCTGGCCGCCCTGCCTGCTGCCGTCTCTCCCGCCTCCCGCCCCAGAAATTATCTCAAGCGTTGCCAGTTTGATTCCAGAGCCCCACTCGGGTGGGTTCTTTTGTTTCTTTGTTTTAATGACAGTTCCCAGCCCTTGAGCATGTCATGCGCGATTAATTCCCTGGCTCTGTTGAAGGCAGCTGGGATGAAATTTCTTCTGCATCATCCTTTTGGGGATAATTGCTTATGATGTGACGTCAGCCGGATTGATTTTTCTCTCTTGAAAGAGAGAGAGAGAGACTCACGGACGTGTGCGGGGGCCACAGACATTAGCGTTTGGAATTCCTGCAGGGCAAAAGGAGACGGGAATGGGCGCTTAGATGTGTGCGGCTAAGACCTCAGACTGCACGTAATTATTAACAAGTTTTTCTTTAAAAAAAGAAAGAAAGAAAAAAACCCACAACAATCCCCTCCGCAGCGAGCCACTTAGGTGCTCCTTTCATGCCCGAGTCCCCCGTTAAGGTGGCAGCGTCTGATAATTAATCTCGGGTACCCAGCCGCTGCAATAGGCTTAAGAGACGAAGAGGAGGGGCGGGGAAGTGCGTCACCAGGTGGGGAAGGGGCTGTGCGTTTGGTGACTAGCGGGAGGGGTGGGGGTGGAGGGGAATAGGGACGGAAAATAGGTTCTGTGTGCTCTCCCGGGGTATTGTGTCAGGAGATGCAGGCTGGCTACCATGTGACGCGGTCCAGAGCTGAAGGGATTGGCCGAGGCAGCGCAGGCGGTGCAGCTCGGCCGGCTTGCTGTTCCTCTCCCTTTCTCTCGCAGCATCTTCCTGGGAGCCTGTAGGTGAAGCGGCACCAGGAGCATCCATGGCCTATCTTTGGGGTTAACACTTGTCTCATTTGGCTTCAGCAGTGGACAGAGCCGACCTCTCGGCAGCGGCGTTGCGAGGACTTGGCTGGGACCTGGAATCCTATCCTCCCGTATTTTTCAGACTCCTTGGAAATTAAGGAATGCAATTCTGCCACCATGATGGAAGGTAGGATGCTTTCTGCTGTGGTTGACTGGCTTCAGGCAAGGTTTGGGCAGAACAGCGTTGAAGAATGTGTGCAGCCTGTGTTTGGGGCTGGTCTAGAACCTGGTTGCCAGGATTTGCAAGCAGAAATGCTGCAGTTTGCTTGCAGCGGACCAGGGCTCAGACTAATGGAATCAAACCACAAGGCTGCTGTTTAGCTCAGAACCTACAGAGCTCCCAGCTCTTTTGAGAGGGGGAAAAAAATAAACCTCAAGTGCTTCCAGGGAGCCAGATAGAGCTAAGAAAGAGCTTGCAGAGCAAATAAGTTGGGAGAGAAGATAAGGTTTTCTGCTCTGGGTTCCTGGGACTACACTGATTAAACATTTACAATGGAAACTTGTTTCCTGAAATTGACATTAGATAGAGGAGGTCATTGACAGAGTTATCCATGCTGTCATTTTCAGTGAACTGTTTAAATTTTTTTTTAAATTCTTGGAAGATTTTTATCTCCGCAATTTACATCTTATTGGAGTGAGAGGTGCAGCAAATTTGGTCCATAAGCTATAGTTCCATGGGGATGTCATGCAACAGAATGAGCAATATGAGGAAAATATCTGGGCCTCTTAGCCCTGGATTCAGGGTCTTATCAGGTTAAAGAAAAAGAGATTTTGTGCTTCCTAAACGCATTCTCGTGCAATGATTCTTAGCCAAGCACCAAAGGATTACTTACTGATTACCTTTTTACATTCAATATTAAGTGTAAGAAGGAACTTTCCCTGGGGAGGTGTTGTTTAAACTATATTTTATTCTACTAAATTACCCTTCCATGCCTGAGATAATGACAGCCAAGATTGCCTCAAAAAAGCAGCAAGCTGATTAAGAAAGAAGCAGGCAGCCCTACCCTGGCTTTGATTTTGTTTTCATACTACAGGATGGTGCAAAACTCCTGGCCTTTCCCAAGATGACAGGCAGAAATTTGTCCCCAGCCTGGATTTCACAATGCAGAATCGAGTGCATAATGGGTCTCAAATCAGCCATGAAAATGGCAGAGAGGCCACCTCTTAAGCCAAGGTCTGTCCTACAGATTTTAAACATTCCTTAGAAATTTACCAAAATGGAATAAGAGGAGGATGGTTTCAAAAAGCAGTGGTGTAGCCCACACTTATTTGGCAGAAATGAATTCTTTTTGCTCTCTCTGTCATCATGTCAAACATTGTTAATGTAATTTGGGGGAGTGAGGAATTCTACAGTCATGGCCTACAGATTTTAGAAAATAGCCTTAAAAGAGAGATTGGGTATCATTTTGTTATGGAGCCTGGTCTTGTTTGCAAAGGGCTCTCAAGCTAGTTCTTTAAAATACAGGTCTAAATAAACTGAGATTACTAACGCCCTAAGATTAAATTATTTTCACTAATTTAAAATGAATTTAATCTTTGAATAACAAGGGAAGACAAACAGAGAGTATTACTGATACACTTTTCAATTTAAACTCATGTGGATTACCCTCTTCAGAAAAAAAAACAAAAACAATCTTGTCTATAGAGGTACTATATTTCTCCAGCTAAATTTCATTTGTAACATTTCCTAAAAAGAAATCTGCATACACTCTGATTAGGTCTGAATCTTACACAGGGAAGTGGAAGCTCTTTCATTTTTACTTCTTGCCTTGCAAACTACAAAGTTAGTGTCTTTTTTGATATTTACGGATGCTCATGAACGACTCTCTTGGCAATCTCGTCTATTGTGCCATCCCGGAATGTCAGTCAGTTCAAAGCCTTCTGATAAGCTTATCTGAGCTGCCGAAACTGAAATAAGAACTGTAACAAAGACATGTGTTGGAGCTGAATTAGCCCTATTGCTCTGCCAAATTCATCTAAGGAAGGATGTTATTTTAGCACTGTTTTGAATTAGAGGTGACACTATGGATGCAGTTGCCTTCCATCAGATGCCTGCAAAAGAAAATGGACAGGTGTTCCCATTGGCTTCAAAATTTTAATGAAACTAATCATTTCTATCTACCCATAGTTCCTACTTACATGGTTTTTAAGACTTATTGTCTTAATGGTTCAGTGACCTTAGAAAGGCAGGTAGGAACCTTAACTAGAAATCAATTTGCCTATCAATAGCCTTGTAACTTAGTTGCCAGTCTTTCTGGCAATATATGTATCTTTCTGATATTGCATCCCAGAATTTCACCTCTGAATTGCTCGTATTCTGAAGATGTGGCAGAGCAGTTATTATTTCTACTTAACTCACCCTGAGAGGAAGCTAGACTCTTCCATCTATCACAATAACCTTGGAAAGATAAGGAACCTCTTAAAAGACACCCTAAAATCCCATCATGGAAGCCCTCTGCTGAAACAGCGGGCTCTGAGAATGTGTCACCCACCATGAAGATGGTTAAATGATGTCCCTCGTCAACTAGTACATTCGCCCACACACATACACACAGTTACACACACATGCAGTACATTATTAAGGAAGGGAGAGAGCCTACATTTACATTGTATATATTTTGATATTCGCCAAAGTGTTTTAGTCTGCTGCTCAAGAAAAGCATGGCCGTGGCAACTTTTCCAAGCTACTTCTCTACTCTGTGTAAAACAGAAGTAAACAAATACTCTTCAGAATGTCTCGTAGTTTAGTTTTGTGATCCTGTTTTGATGGAATGAGATATGGGCTCCTTTCATTTAATGCCTGTTAGAAATTCTGGTCATAGTTGAAGAATGTTACTACCTCCCCAGCATAGAAGGTAGTGAAGTAATTAGGCAGGGACCTCAGACATGTCACCAGTAGTTTGTGACTCCATGATTCCTTTCAAATATTTTTATTTAAAAACATGTATTTTAATTTGATATTGGATTAACTGATTCCTGCCGTCTTTATTTTTTGGCAGTGGTTGGTATGGAGTTGTGTCTTTCCTAAGGAATGCCCCATGATATGGAGCCTTCTGTGGTATGAATGGGAAGGGAGAGAGGGTGAGCAAAGGGAGTTATTTGCTAAAGGCACATATACTGGTTAAGCTTACAATGCAGTCTATGTGATTAGGGCAACGCTTCAAGGATTCTGTTATTTTCACATATTATTATTTAAGTTTGAAAATGCCATTTTAGCTACCCCTTCTAAGATAAGATAAGCAAAGTCAGGACATCTGTGTGTTTGTAGGGCAGCCTGGGAAGTTTTCCCTTGTGTCGCAGAACTCTACCACAAGTTACTGTGCTTTCAGTTCCATAGCCAGGCTCTTCGGTACTGTCTTAGAAGGAGAAGTTTCAACCAATGGCTTCACCCTATATAATAATTTTTTAAAATTAACAGGTACATTGTTATGGGTTTACTGGATATAATTGTAATGTATAGGGTGATTGAATAAATTTTATTATATTTACTATTCACGATGACCTGTAAATAAGTGTATTCTGCATGCAGTCCTTTTGCAGTACTTTCTTGAAATTGCAAAAATAAAAAATAATATTTTGAGGCAGAAAAATGGCAGAAAGGAATTTGAACCCAAGTTCATGTTTCTTTTTTTTAGTCAATTCAAGTTCTTATAAATAGTATAAACCAAGTTGGAGTCCTTTATTATGTCATATATCTATTGCTTCCTTCAATTTTAGAGGAAAAACAATGAACCAGCATAGTCATCTAGAATGTTTTGCATTAGCATATTTACCTCAGAAGACGTAATTACATGTTTTTCCTGAACTCTGATAAGTGGAGGTGAGAATTTTCTGGACCCAAGTTCATTTAACAATAAAGCTCATATTTTTGATCCCTCATAACATCTTTTTTTTTAGGATCTTATAATAGGAACCTTTTTAAAATTTGTATCAAGGTGGGCATCTTAACCTAATTGAGAACTAGGACTTGGTTTCCTGGGTGGCATATTCTGTCTGTCTCTCTCTCTTTCAGATATGGATACCCACACAACCATGCCTTTTATTTTAATTCCTTGTTAATGCCTTTCGTCTCCAGGATTATTATTTAGACAATTTCGAATAATTCTAGCTTAACTGAGCTTTTGTTGTTGTAATGAACCTTATAATAGTAAAGATTTTTTGTCCTATCAAGAACTAGAGTTTTATTTACTTGGAAAATTCTTTGATCTGATCAAAAAGGAACAAAGCATTTTGAAGCTGGAACTGTTCATTTTCTAGTTAACTAAGAAGTCTTAAAGAGGATGCTTCTAACTTCCCAGAAAGAGTGAAGTTATTTTGGAAAACCTTAAGCATGCATATGAGATTCTAATGCATGGGTCATCCTTTATGTAATTTTTCTCCTTCCTCAAGGCTCTGTGTCAGAAATAGCCTTCTTATATATGTAAGTTCCCATACAATTCCATGGGTCAGCACTTTAAATCTCTAAAGAAGAATATGCAATCTTAAAAAATTATCTTAGATAAACCATTCTAGAAGACTCTGGATAATTCTTTCTGTTGGATTTGGCATATACATTATCCATGTTTCAAAAAAACAAATTGCAGGAAGTCACCAACTCACAGTTTTTATGTTCCTGAAAGTTTATGAATTGCTCACTTGAAACAAGTTTGCCCATAGGAATAATGATATGTATGATGATTAGATTCTCACACTAGTCATTCAAAGGCTGTAAACCCATTATCAAGTTGAAATACCAAATATTTGCAATGAAATGTGTGAAGAACAGGACAGGTGGTGGTAAGTAGCCAGAAGAGAACAATGGACTTAAATGTGTTTTCAATTTTAAATGTTGCTATTTGTGAAAAGGAAGATAGTGAGGGTATGGAGAGACAATTTGAAGAGAGTTTTTAGGTATATTTCCAGAGGTTTTAGAGACTTCTGACACTGGATTTTCAATTATGTTCCACTTTACTTCTATACTCGCAGATTACCCTTTCTCAATTCAGTTTCATCATATGTATTACTGTTAAACTGTGATTACTTTCATTATGTAAACTCACAAATGGAATTAATAAAGGGAGAGAGAATTTACTGAGATGACGGTACAGGAGTTGGAAAGGAGAAAATGTTTAAGGGATTCAAATGGAT